AAGAAGTACGGTCGGATAATAACGAGTTTCGCTGTCGTCCCTCTCGCCCTTGCGCGAGTAGCGCGAGTCGTAAAGTCAGCGATGTTAACTCCCCCCGCCGTCCGTCCCCCGATCGTTTTTCTTCCACGGCGATGTGGACGATCGTGTCAAATTTTTATTGCGCCAACGAGCCTGTCTCGTGGCGCGGATACTCGCAATCGCCTCGCCTTATACGGCACTGAAACGACGAGGAAAGAGAAAGACGGACTTTACCTCGAGGATCGCATCGACGACGCAGCGTCCTCCCGTTGGACATCGATAGATTGCGAAGGATAACGACGAGAATTGTATAAATGTGATAATAAGTCTGATAAAATGTAGCGGTACAGATCCAAGTACCGGAGAGATGGATAGAGTTATTTAGATTTTCTTACAAGTTGTATGAGAATTATTAGCAAGGAATAAACATAATAAATAATGATAAAGACATTCCTCTAGAAATTCATAGTCATTAATTAATTAAGCTCTCGATTTAAAATCTTAATTAAGCTTTTCGATAATAATTGGACACGCTATAAATAATTTCGGAAACGATAGAAAAAATACTCTGAACTAGTCTACATACTGTTTATTTGATTTAACGTTTTAACACAATTCTCCAACCTCAATTATTTGTAATTAGTTGAGATAAAAATTCATATGTTAAATTCTTAGTAAAAGAATGTTCGACGTTGAATCGCAGTAAACATGATCACTTCCACGTTGCGTTTTTGCCTTCATAAATCCGTTAATGGTAAGATGATTGCGATCATCAGCCAAAATTTATCCCGAAAGAAGCCTATAATTTTAAACTCGAATTTTGACAAATCGAAATTTAAACAACAGTGTAGAATATCGTGCTTACAAAATAATTAATGCATTTGTCTTAGGCACACGAAATATCTTCCGAAATTATTGTAGTGAAGGCGCTAGCGTTTTCAATGGGTTCAAAAAAGAAAGCTTGCGGTACCGAGAAGAGATAGGTATCGTCCTGTATTGTACACCGTAAAAAGATCCAATCACGCGATATCCATCAGTAAAGTTGCAAATATTTCCACTCTGTTTATCTTGGTAAATTAATTGAAATCACTGATACAGTATTTCCATTCCATGCACATTTTTCTCTTTGACCAAGTAAACTTCATTCGCGAATTTGTATTCACTGCACTCGAAAATTCGTCCAATCCGTTCTACGACACTATTGACTGCACTGCTTTGTGTATTGAAAAGGTTATTACGAATCGAGGTATTCCTACGGGAAATCTACTCGCGATGACGAGGAGCTGCATAGAGTGATCTCGGAAGATTTTTTCTGCAGAGAGTTGTCTCGGAATAGCTTCAAGTTCTCGACTTGGATAAAACAGAAAATTCGTTCGACCATTGTCTTTAATAGTAGTTGCTTCAGATTAATATCAACTCTTACTTTTATCAAACATCTGATTGTTTATATATTTACGATTCAGATAATAAAAAAAGGAATTAAGCAGAAATAAAGAATGATCTAATACAAGTTAAAAATAAAAAAACTGTAGCCTTGGACTTAAGTATAAAGCATCCCCATAAATGTAAACTTTATATAAAAAAGTTGTATTGAAAAATATTTATTTTTTAACAATTCTAATATATTTTATTAAATCCTTTAGCTTTTATTACTGCCTTTTCTAAGAAAATACAATAAATTGAAGACTATATTTTATAAGGCGCTTTATACTTATAGCCAAAGCTGTATTATTTATTTTAAAAATGTCACCTGGAAAAAGTCCCTATTTTAAAATTACTCTAAATAATAAAAACTTCCATTTCACTGACAGCAGAAATATTCAAGGTGAACGAGTTGTACGATTCACCCTCTGTATGATCCTGTATTGTCACATCATTTCACGTTAGGTCGTGTAATATTCAAGCGATGTCTATTACATCGCTGGACTACCTGACGTTTCGCGTGACGCGACGCGCCGATATTTTCTTTCCTCCTTTTTTTTTGCTCACCAAACGAGAGGCGCACACCGGGACGCGGAGGCAAAGACGCATTACCAGATTGGCTGGCTCACGTTCACATTCAGGGGGAAGGGAAAAGAGGTCCTTTACATTCATGAAGCTTTCATCCGGTTGATTTGACTACGCGCTACGTATCTGCGGCTCTCGATTTGATTTGCATTGATTGGAGTGGCCGGCTCTCCCGATAACGACCGTTTTTCTTTGGCGGCGATGCAGATACCGGAAATGGCGGCGAATCCGCGGTACAGCGTATCCACCGAATTTACTTTCGCGTTGATTTTATGAGGGTGTATTTTACTAAGTGTATTTTAACTATAAATCCCGCATGGTCGATTAACCGCAAGCAAGAACAAAAATTAAAAATTCCTTTTAAGTTTAAAGATGATTCCTTTTAAATTTAAAGATGATTCCTTTTAAGTTTAAAGATTACACGATTTTTTTTAACAAAATGAAAACTAATTTTTTTATATTATATTATATTTGAAAGTAATACAAAAAATTTAATAACGATTTAGAACATGATTCAAGATTATTTGAATATTGAGAAAAGTGTTGGGATCCTAAATTTTAATAAATATATATTTGAATGATACTTTAATTGAATATTTGCTAAATATTTATTTAGTACACGAACTATTATTGATTTAAATATTATTTTTTATTCAGTAAATATTTATTTACCGGAAGTAAATGTTATTAGTATTATTTAAATATTTATTAAAATTTAGTACGTTTTTTCTCGGTGTAGATATGTTTTTTAAAAAATAATTAAGAGATGAGAAAATGAGAAAACTTTCATTCAAACTATAACATTGTATTATTAAATATAAATATTTACCTCTTATTGAATTGTTTATGTATATTACATATGTATAACATTTATTTTTACGCGGAAAATACAAAATTTCCAATTCTAGTCACTTTTTGCAGAAACTGTACATTTTTAAATTGTCAAGAATTATATTACTTGTGTTCTGAAAAGAAAACGATCAATAACGCGAATAACGTTTGATTTGAAATCCAATAATTTCATTTATAAGAGGAGAATCGTGTAATATTTTATAATACGTATACCGTGTATTCGCATTAAATAGTGATTAAATATTAATCACATATAATAATTAAAATTTGCAGCATTAACATGAATCATAAGCGAGTACAAACATCATTGCAATAACGCGAAATTCATTTTTATCATTTTATTATCCTCGCCATATGATAGATTCTTTTTCTCTCCTTACAATATTTATTAAATATTAAAATATTAACTAATATAAATAATAAAATATATCTGATTGAAAGTAGGTACCAAGTAATTGAACAAATGACATCGTAATGCAGCGTAACATTACTCGCGTGTAATAAAAGACCGAACAACTCCACTGCCGTCGGGACGCCTTACAACAAGCGTCGCGATAGGTGCAAGCGGCATCCCAATTTCATCTTCTTACACGATAACGGCGGCATTGTACTCGCGTCAGCAGCGGAACGATGATTAATCGATTGACTGTCACGGATATCGCTCTTTCTTCCTTTGCGCGCGGCTACCGCGATCGCGGATGGAAACGACGCCGGAGAATAAGACGCGTAATATCGCGGGCTGCGCGCAACCATCTCCATTAATAAAAATCAAATGGCTATTAAGTCGAAAATATTTACAGTGTCGCGGACAACAATGGGAGTGGACAGCACCTTCTTTTGGGGGCAGCGGACTTTGGAGGCGAACGTTGTGGAGGATTGAGAAAACCGCGGTCCGGACCGACGTCGCTAATCGTCGCAGAATGAGTCTCCACTTTCTTTTTTCCTCTCACTCTCGTTTTCTCTCGAAAGGACCACCTGGAAATTTCCCAGATTAAATTGATTTATACATCATTCATCTCGCCGGTGTACTATTAGTACTGTTATTTATGGTGAAAAAAAAGCATAGACCGCGAGCGGCACCCATTATGTATCGAGATCGGGTCGCCGGGTGATTTATGCCGGCGGCGTAAATTGCCGCTTGTCCTTTGCAAGATCGTAGTGAAACGTCGCCGATTAAAATCCCGACCGCCACGTTGATCGTGATTTAGCGGAGTTTAGGTGGGATCTCCGGCCCCGCCGTTTCGTGATTGCGAAATTAGCGATCGCGAGATTACGCTAAGTTTATGCGCGCGAAAAATACAGGCGTGGCACGGCTCTGTTATTGGTTGGTTGCAGCTCTCTGGGATCGCGATTATCTATAAACTTAATTAAATTACTCGATGAAGATTAAGATAATACATGACAGGGACTTAGTAAACAAACATGAAGTGCTATGGAAAGACCTGTTTTGTTATCTTCTCTCCCATTAACTTATATTTATTAATTCGTGAATAATCACTTGGGTATTTTTACACCCCAGCGGTGAAAAAAATGTAAATTGTTGTAAAATATTGTTTTGTATATGGATATTGTTCAACAGTTTATCTTTTTTAATAATTATTCTTTATATCTACTATTACAAATCTTAAAATATGCAATTCCATAAAAAACCGCAATAAAAAAACGTTATATCAATTAAAATCTTTATTTTTGAGAAATACTGTAGTTTAATATGTTCATTAATTCCATTTAATAGTTTCTACTTACTTTTTTCAGAAAATTGTGATTAAATCTATATCTATAATGTTCTTAAATACTAATAAATCCGAAATCAATAATATGCAATATGTTGTTAATGATGATTGAATAATGATTACAATGACAGTGATTAATTGGCGTGAAGATCGTTCACGTAAAAAAAATCTGATATTTACTTTCAAGTTAAAAAAAATAATGACATTATTAAAGAAACATGACATTATTAAAGAATACAACATTATTAAAGGATTAAATCTCGAAAATAATCTTTTTTTAAACCGTTACGTATTTAAATTAAATTCATTCTTTTTAAAAATAAAAAAATTATATAATTTCATAATTCTTACGTTTCAAAATGACAAATAATCGATAAATGATGATTTGTTTCAAATTTTATCCTTATCGTCCAACATCTGTAAAGGTCCCAAGGTGGGATACATTCGCAATCGTAATAGCTCGTGCTCGGTCTGCAACACCAGAAGCTCAGCATAATTTTTCTGGAGCTTCTTGATCAAATCGGATCGTTGTTTGAAGAGACGTATCTTTTGGTCCGTATGCTCGCGTTGCCTTATCTCCCCGATGACGTCGCGTTGATACTCCAATTCCCATCTTGCCACGTTCATCTCAGTAATCACTCGATCGAGCTCAGTATTCTTTTTTTTCACGCGGGCAATCTTCTGCCGGAGTTTCTCGACTTTATTCATCTCTTTGGACAAAGCTTTGTCCAAAGATTTCTTCATAGTCTCGATCTCCTTCTCGAGATGCACTGCAGTTTTATCGTCACGCAGTCCCTTGGCCTTTCTCTTCAAATAGGTGTGCATATCTCGGGTGACCGTGACGTCCTTCAAGGAATGCAGATCCTCCTTCAGCTCCTTGAAGCGCGTTTTTAGGCAACGATGCTCCCACTCGGTCAACAGCATCCCATAGCGGAAATCGATTATACGTTTCAGAACGTCTATTTTACGTGCACCCGCAATATAGATGTGCTCATTGACTTTCTCGATTTCTTCGCGTGGTATCAAAATAGCATCCGCCGCGTCGTGGCATTCACCATATAGTTGGAGCTCCACTTGGCCTTTCTTCAGCACCAGCTGCACCTGCGCGTCTTGCTCGCGCATCATCCGCTCCTCCCTCGCTGTCCTGAACCGATCTATGAGGAGGGTCACATTCGATTTACATGCATTGATCTTATCTTCGAACACGCTAATCGTTCGCTCCACCGCGGTTATCTCCAGCTGCCGAGCCTTGATCTTTAGCTCAACGTTAATCTTTTGACGACGCGATTGCGTCAGTTGGTCCCAGTGACTCGCATCAATCGATTGCGGTAATTCGCTGGGTCGCACGTCCAGGTTCTCCAGGATCTTTGAATAATCCGCGCATTCGGTTGGAAAATAAGCCGGCTTAGTATGATGTACGAGATACTTCGCGAGATTGAGCAGATCGCTGACAGCGACGTTCCTCAAGGATACTCGCGGTCTTCGCTTGTATTGCCGTTCGAGAAGTTCGACATTGACCTTCGATAATGCGGCAAATTCATGGTGAAATTTTTTCATCATCTCTTTCTCACAAGTGCAGAGTGCGTCGTATTGTGCGATCATATCCTGATAGACGTCGTTCAGTTTCTGTACGTGTTCCTTCAGCGTGTTTTCGTATTGACATTTCTCGGATATCTCTTTTTTCATCCCGTCTTCTTCTTTCACATCCTCGATCCGCGCAAGAATACGCATACGGCCGCGAATATTTCGTAGCTTCAATTGATTTATCGCTGCATCGACTTTTAGTTTTAGCTACAAATAAACATTATTTTAAAGAATCTGATAAATGTATCAGATTAATATGTATGTATAACAAGCATATTATATAGGAATAAGAGAGAGAGAGAGATTATTATTATAATTATAAAATATTATTATATTATTAGAAAATTTGTGTTAAATTTAATACATTTTATGTGTCTCAAACAGTCTACTCAAATTTTTATATTAATTTAACACAGGATATGAAAATAATATAAATATTATGTAAAAAAAATTAACACAAAACATTGTAACATCGATACAATTTGTGAGCAAACTGTGAAAGCATATTTTTCAGTAAAATTAACATTTATAATATGTTAAATTAAGACGTATTTATTCCAGAGTTTATGTTTTAAAACATACCATATTATTTTTATTTCATTTTATTCATAAACTGTGTTATTTTAGTACCAAGAAGCATCGAATATCAATTTAACACAAAATATTCAAATAACACAATCACTTTATGTTAAATTAATATAAGTGGGATATATTAAAAATGTAACACAAAATTTTAACAAAGATTGGACCGATTTTAACATAAATACATATTTTTTACTGCACAATGATTGTTATAATTATAAAATATTATAAATAGAATAATATTAATAATGTAATTTATTTTAAAATAAAGGAATTAAGAAAAATATTAATCTCAATTCTTAATCTAATAAAATAAAATATAAGTAAAAATATAATAGTATTGTTAAAAGTTAGAATCTCAATCGATAAGAGACCTGAAAGAATTCATTCAACTTGGCGTCGAATTTGTCGATGCCTTCCTGCAGAAGTCCATTGATCTTCGCGTAATCAGCTTCGAGTATCTTTCTGTAACGATCACGTTCTTGCCGAAGACTCTCCACATCCGCTTCGTACTTCCTTATGGCCGCGATGTCGTCGGGCGTGTACTTCTCCGGTTGTTTTTCCAGCATGCACGCAGGCTTGCCCACGTCTATCTTTATAGTATCTTCCCAGCGAATCTCTAACACACCGTCCATCATCTTAATCAGGGCGCGCTCGCGAAAATCATCGGCCAATAACAACTGTCTAATTCGTTCTGCTTCCACTGCTTGCCTATCCAGGATTTCCTGTTGCGATGGCGACACGTACGGCTTCGCCTTGACCTCATCTTGGAGCACTTGAATAATGCTCTCTACTTTCTCCTAATCGATATCGTATTTTCGTTATGTATCTAGTCGCTTTTACTCGTAATCAGATTTATAAAAAGTAACCTTTAGTACATACAACGATAATTTTCCGATCTCTCACTACACGATAATGTATCGTTCATATCTGAATTAACTTTCGCTAGCGTATAAAAATAATTAAGTAAATCTTACATATTTTAACATCTTTGGAAAATATTTGCAAAGTTGTGCATTAAAAAAAAAGGATAGAGATTATTTAGCCAAGTGTTCCTAGCATTTCAAAAGAAAGAAATATGCAAGGTACATCATGTGTTCTAAGGATTAACTTTGAGACTTAATCCTCAATGTGCTACAAATTTTTATCATTATAGCATTTATGTGATCGTTTGAAAAAGAATTTATTATTTTATTGCATTCAGATTTTTACGGAGAAATAATGGAAAAATACACTTGTCTAGAACTCGATTTTCCATTTCGTAAGAATTATAATTTGAAAATCTTTTATCACTATTTTCATGCTGGCACGGTATATTTGTCCACGAAGCAAACTTTCGTTCCTTTAATTTATTCATAAGAACACTGATTTATATTTTTCTTGCAATAATTTAAATAAGGCCTCGGCTTTTCAAACACTCGGTAGAAGCGGTGCTCGCACCTCGTATTTACCTTGGGATGCCACTGCGGATCAACAGGAACCTGCGGCACGCTCTGGTCGAACATTATCCTCAGCTCGGAATCTATATAATATATCCGTTCGTTTCTCTCCCGTATCACATTCGTTTCCCGCTCTTTCGTCGCGTACATGTCGTCGAAGAGCTTGTTGAAGTAGTCAAGGAGCTTTTTATAATCGTGCATCAGATAACGATTGTCCAGCATTACGTGCGTGAACCCGTAAGATTCCAACTGCGAGTAATAGTAAGACGATTGCTCGACGAACTGATGCGTTGTCATGCCTGCGGACAAGCACGACGATTAGCGAGGTTTAATCGAGCAAAAGTCGAAAAGCTTAAGAACTCACAGTTTTATATAAAATAAAACTGGAATTGTTGATTCTTTTTTTTGGCGTTCAATATTTAGATGTATTATTTTTATTCCGGCAAATAAAAAAATTTCTTTTTTTTTTATCAATTTCAAACTTATATTCATTCAAATTCTCTTTTCATTCGAGATTTTCTTACAAATACTATCATAATAAACTGCTTAATGCGTATTCTATTCTGTTATAATACTTGTTTGATTTCTATTTACTTTTTTCAGAAAATTAATTAAAATTAATTAACTTATATCTATGATGTTCTCAATACTAATAAGTCAAACAGCAATAATATTTTGTTAATAATAGTAATTTTAATTGGGATATAAAAATAAACATTTACGTAAAAAAATCAGATAACTACTAAATTAAAAATCTTTGCGGCACAAGAAATGCGCTGATTTTTCGTAAAGAATAATAAAAAAAATTGCCGCAGTTGTCGGAGACCAGGAAATTCAAGCACAGTGCTCCGAGATCCACACACACACAACACACACACACACACATACACACCTTAAAGAGAAACAGAAAGTTATTACATCCTACCATTGACCGCCCGCAGCTCCGCTAGTTCCTCAGGATCGATCTCAACTTCCAAGTCTTTTTTGCGTTTCTCATCCTCGCGATACATCCGGACGGGTTTGCTCAATTCCACCTGCAGTTGCTCCTCCGTGTAGTGGTACCACGTCTGGAAAGTGTCATAAATATCGCTCACCGAATCCCTACTAAATTGTGCCAATTGCAGATGCTCCTTGAAGTATGGATCTTCCTTGGTCAGCGGATAATTCGTCACCTCCGTGTCATCGCGAAAGGAGAATATCGAGCGACCTAAGACGATCTGCGGATCCCAGAAAGTCGCTTTCATCCAGCTGGCCACACGATCTATCGAGGCACAGTGATGCTCGAGTTCTATACAGACATTCTCGCGTTCGTTTTCGGCCATTTTTAATCTCTGATCACGGCCTGCTTTGTTCAGGTCAAACGCGGACACCGGTAATTTCTCTATCTCTGAATAGGTCTCGTTGGCGTCGAGGAGTTGTCTGATAGTGACCTTCAAAGCTTCCAGATCCTTCGCAATGGCGGCCTTCTTCGCAGCGTAAAATCTTGTTTCTTCACGCAGCTGCATGTTCTGCTGCCATTCTTCCCAGGTTTCAAATCCTTTCTCGTCGATTGCCGGGAAGTTTATTCTGGCTCGGGTCAACGAGGCACGGATTGCTGGATCCAGAGAGGCATAATCTGAGAGTATCTTTTCTTTTCTTTTTTCGTACTGTTCATAGTCCACCGAGTAGACGCTTTTTTCATTCGCGGGCGGTGACTCTGTACTCTCCTGTACTAAAGACAAGAATTGTCATTCTTTTATAAGGATAGATAATGTGAACACAATGTGCTTTTTTCTTCCTATTTCTTTTTTTTGTCACTTTTTAGCTTGCCTTTTTGCCTTTTATTTTATTTGACTTAGCCAGGTACGGAAAATATATAACGTTACTTTTAAAACGTTACTTATAAAACTTGTCAATATTACGGGTCTTTTTTTTTAATGAAAAAGTAACTCGTTACAAGTAACGAGTAAAAGTAACACGTTACAAGTAAGAAATTATTTGTTTTCAATAAATAATGCGTAAGTTACTATTCAAGAATGATTTTTCTAACCTTAACGGTATCGTTAAAGTTATAAAATATTCGCAACATCATTATCAAATTGTTATTGTAACAAAATAACGGTAAAAATAACGATATTATGAATAATGCGTTACTCCCATTCCGTGTCCATTTCTTTGTTTTCTGTCGCCCGAGATAAAAAAACTGATGAATTTCAGAAAAGACAAAAAACACATTTTAAACACGTTACAAGAAACATGATTTTCGATAAAACAATCATAAAGAGAGAGAGAGAAAGGCAAGAGGTAAAAAGTAAGAAGTAATAGAAAGCAAAGAGCATATTGTAGATCAGAAGAAAGAGAATTTAAAGAAAGAGAATTTAAAGAAAAAGAAATCGAAGATTTTAATTTAAAAATGCTCTCTAAATTTAGAGTAAAATTTCGCTCGAAGAGACTGAAAATTTAGCCTGTCTTGAAAGAAGAGTAAAAATACGGTCACTCTTGTTCAAGAGTTTAGATTTTCATTCTTTTTTCAAGACATACTAAATTTTCAATCTCTTCGAGTGAGATTTCACTCCATGAGATTTAGAGAGTGAAAAACTATACAATTATTAATACACACTGTTTTACTTTCACGATGAATGCGCGTCGCAACCAAGGAACCATCATGGCCAAGAGCAACTACTGTATTACCGTCGGAACTGACGATAGCCTTCCGGTTGCCCGAGTCGAGTCTATGGTGCATTGGTATCACGGCAACGACTTGCTGTATTGTTCCATCACGAATAATGACCAATCCGTCATAAGCGCACGTAACAATCCAACGTCGATCAGCGACGACATGAGCGAGTCGTACATGATGACCCGTCACCACTGCGTCCATCAAGGTCGCGTACTTGAAGTGTTGCAACCTCACTATATGCAATTGCCGTTCGAAATAAGGTGAACCTATTAGCAGTTGAGGATCGTCAGGCGCGTGACACAACTCGTAAAAGACTGTGGGCAATGTTACAATGTCGATGATCTTGTTGACCAGACGTTTATCAGTGTCGATGTTGTACACGTGCAGCTGCTGGCCCACCGAGCAGAACGACTCGTACTGTTAAGTTCATAATGTCAAATTATAGCCAATTTGATTTACTTTTAATCATATTTACAGATTGCTACAACTCATACTCAATATGTCATTAATTTTAATAAACAACCCGGAAAAAGAATGTTTCATATATAATTATATATGATTATATGAAATTATGTATAATTATATGAAAAATTGACATATTTTATGTACAATTATATATAATTATATATAAAATATCCATTTATATATAGCATTTTTTTCTCGAGAATGGAGTTAAATAATTTAACTTAACAATGTATTAAAACAATGAAAGGAATGTTTGCAATAGCAAGTAAGAATAAAAAAAACGCACGGTGTGCAATAATTCAAATAATAATTATATATTTACTTTTGGGGTTACGTAAGAATCGATTAAATGTTCAATTTTAAACCATTCTTACATTAATTATTCTAGTGTGAGATTCTCCGAAATTATATTTAAATACATTTAATTTGACTTAAAAGACCTCGCATTAATCTTATAGAAAATTGAGTTCGAGTGAAAATAATTAGTTTTCATATACAGTTGCTGCTAAAAATTTGCGGCTAATAAGTAATTTTATTAATTGTATTGCTGAGATAAAGAACTTTTATAAATAATCTAGCATACACTAAGTACTTTTTTAAGTATTTTAGTATTTAAAATATCGTTAAATTTAATATAACAATAATTTATCATTATATAATGATTACATATAATAATTTAAATAAATTAAAAAGAAATTGAAAACAAAAATTATTATAAAATTGTATATTGGCCGAAAACTTTTGCAACCACTGTAATATTATAGCTTATAAGGTATTTAATATGTAAATTCAAGATTCAATGGTTTATGTTGTGTCAAGTCTCTCTCTCTCTCTCTCTATAAACTATCCATTGTTAAATTTTATGTCTATAATATTTTCTGTTCACTACATTATAAATTACATTTTGTGTAAAAGCTAACTCATTTTACCGGGATTCAATTTCCCATACAATTGTAGTGCAAGGTTTAATTTGTTATCTATTTTGTAAGTGCGAGCGTTAATGTGGACATTGTTTACTTTGAAACTAACTAGTTCAACTACAGAAATGGATTAATTTACATTTTGATATATAATTATTTTATATATATATAAAAGTTAAAAACAAAATGTTATTTAATTGAAGGAATTAGATTACCATTGTTCCTTTGACATCTAACAATATCGCGTGGAGCACGAGCACCTTTAGGTTTGTGCTCGCCTCATCATACAGCACCACGTCGACAAAGCCTCCCTTCGCTTGAAGCTGGGCCATTACTTCCCACGGAGCATCGCTTTGCAGATTCACGCAATAACAATTACCCGTCTCCTTCTGTGCGACGATCAGAAATCTGTCGGCAACAGAAATCGATCATCGAGAGATATGTAATCCTAATAGCGCTTATACTCTCGCTCTAAACTAAATGACTAAATACGTTCGGCAGAAATGCACTTAGAGGAGTGTTGTCAGTTGCTTCTTATGAAAACGGAACATCAATGCTCATTTTTTAATAGAGCATCACAGTCGCGAAATATTGTATATGATGTAGAATTCTTATATTTTAGACTTTGTTTGCCATATCTTAGAAAATAGATAACAAGTTTTTAATTTATGTTTGTTATTATGTTGAAAAAGATTTCGACGCCCGATTTGCAAAATGTATATAAATTCACACAGAAATATTTAAGCACTAAAATCCGTTTTAATCGAAAATAAAGTTTTTTTTATTTAATTTTAGATTTATTAAATTAGATTTATTCTTATCGGTCCAAATTCGTATCATAATTGTTTAATGTTATTGTGTTTAACAGCATACTCTTTAATAAATACTTTCGTAATTTATTAAAAGTATAATTAATGCATTTTGTTGATTTGTAAACAACAGGAATTAGGATTTTTATAAAATTGGGCAAATGCTCTTAACTACGAATTATTATTATTATTAATAGTTTATATGGCTGTAACTTTTACGAAATCGATATGCGAATTATCTCATTGTTAGATCATACTTACTTGCCGGAGTGGGAAAATTTTATAAAATTTAAGGGTTTCTTCTGGAGACAAAAGTGCGCCAGTATCATCGGTTGCTCCGGATCAGTGATACCCAGAATTGTCATTTCACCACGATCGCTAACGACAACAATCAATGGATTGTCCGGATGCGAAACTAGAGCCGATATATTGCCTTCTATATCAAGTTCCACTTTGGAGACTTTACTGCCGCTGTAGCTTTCGAAGATACTTAACTCTTTAAGGTCATCTGTCGCCGCAAGATGATGACACCAAGGATGCAAGAAATCGACAAAGTGATGTTTAGTACCGTGGTATAGGTACGTATGAATCGTTGGCGTTATGCCTTCACCCTCAGAGAACATCATCTGCATCAAGTAACCCTCGAGAGTGTAGTAGAAAAGTTTATTTTCAGAGGGATGCGCGATCAGAATATAAGGTTTGTTGATCGATTTGATGTACCATAGTTTGTGCCAGACATTGGTCGTCGGTTTTTTCTTGAAGTAGCGGATCTGACAGAAAGTCGTTTTAAGGATGATACCGCCACGAAACCAACACACGACTGGTGTCTCAATGTTCATACAGATCACACAGCGTTGCGAAAATACGATACGAAGGACACTGGTACCGTCGTAATTGCTCAAATATACATGACCGTCTATATCAGTAATAGCCAATAGCGGATTAGTCGGCATATTCGGACACCAATCGATCCCGCGAATCATAGCTTCTTGCGGCAGTTTAACTTCGTAATCTTTACAAAGAAAATATTTTACGTATTTTAGAATTTTTAACTGCTTGTTTTATTAGAAATCTGAGTTAATCCTTTGAGAACGAGTTTTTTGACAAAGAAACTTAAAGAAACCCTTGTTTTCTAATAATTTTCGGAATTGCTGAATTTGATTCTGCTCTCAGAATTCGAAAATTTCAAAAAAATATAACACAAATAAGTAAACAAAATAATCTGATTATAGTGAAGCTTTAAGAGCGG